GGATCTTAACTTCCCAGGAGAGAAGGGGCCTGAGGTCTCTCAGATGATTTGCTCTCTGGTCCTGTGTCCCTCTTTCCTGCTTCAGATGGCCATGCTTTGGGGCTGTTCTGTACCCAGTAAACTACAGCAAAACAAACAAACAAAAAACAATAGGAAGAAATAAAAGCAGCTTACTCTGGGGAGCATTCACGTTGTATTGGACACTGCTCAAATCCTTAGTTTATGTAATATTCACAGTGATTCTGTGAAATAGGGATTATTAGAATCCCCATTACATAAAAGAGGAGACCAAGGTTTGGAGAAGTTAAGTAACTTGTTTAAGGTTACACAATTATAAATATGGATGGATGTGCTCTGTGGTCATTCTGGTGCTGGTGCTCAGCTGAGATGTCTGCCCCATGTCTGAGCACCCAGTGAAGTCTACTTCCCCAGCCAGGGCTAGAAACCATGTGCCCTGAAGAGCACCAGGTCACCGGGTGTGTTTCCAAAGCCAAGTTCCATAGCTCTTTGCTCTCCCAGAGGCTGCTGGGTAATTGGCCAACATGAATTCCCAAACCAGGTGTCCATGGATTCCTGGCCTCCTCTGATAGCTAAATGAAGATGTTTTACACCTAATATTGAGCAATGGACTTCCCCAGTTTCCAGGAAAACTTTGCAAAAGCATAACATGTTCTCAATTGTACATTTTTCTTCCATGAATTTCTTCTTATTCCTTTGGAGCTCACTCCTGTTCGCCAGCTGGCTGGTGACAGTAATGACAAAACAACTGAACAAGTAGCACGTAAATGAGTATTGACAGAAAAACTTGTAGATGTGAGATATTTAACACAGTACATATTTTGTCTTGAGATACAGAGACCTAGCTATATATGACATAGTTGTATTATTTCTACTAGTAAGATTGTTCCTGATTTGTGATAAGTTTAAAACTATCTCTGTTTATTAGTATTCTGATTTATATGTGTTCTGCCCACTGAACAAATTTCAAAACAGTGTTCAAAACCAGATTGGGCAGAACTAGGCAATTCTAAAACAAACAGATAATACTTATTATATGGCTTATTACATTCGAGACACTGTCCTTAGCACTTTTGATACACTGATCTCATTTAAACCTCATCGTGACCCTATCAGGTAGATACTATTACTATACCCATTTTACAGATGAGGAGACAGAGGCTAAGAGAGAAAAAGTCACAATTTAAAAACAGTAGTGATGGACATTGAATGAGCCCAGTCTGACTCCAGGGCAATACTTCTTTCTCTCCAGGCTGAAGGGGAAATAAAGAAGGAAAAAGAGAGGAAGGAAGGATACAAATACAAACATTTAGGAAGTCCTTTCTCTTTTTTAGTGCTGTGCTAAGGGCTTCCTCCCTTACAGGAGGCTTACCTTTTACCATGAACCTCGTGTATGGGATAAATATGAAGAACATTGGGTCAGGATTCAAAAGGTGGATAAGTTGCCCATCAAAATCCTACCTGCCTCACAGGGTTGAGGTTCAAACAAGACATGAGTGAGGAAAAGGCTCTGAAGGTTGCTTATGCACCTGTGATTTACTAGATGGCAACACACCCTGGTAGATTGGCCCCAGTGGAACTAGGGTAGGAAAGCACATATCTTAGGTCATCTGGGGTTTTGCACAGCCCTTGGGCCATACAGGAGCCTCCCCTTCCAGACTCAATGCACCTTCCACCAGGCTATGTGGGCTAGCTGAGTTCAGGGCCACATGTAGTGACTTTAAAGGGGCTAAATCCTGTACAATAATCACACCCGCCCTGGTCTAATTCTGGTCTTACTGGCCTCACTCACCACCTTGTTCCCCCCTGGGGATGAACCCACTCGGCATCAGGACCTAATTCTCCTTGCATTGCCTGCCTATGATATATTCTGGAAGAAGATTCTCCAGGCAGCGGAAGGGCTTCCTGGTCTTACAGAACCGGTATTGGGTACTGGGTGCTGATTCCCAATAATCCATACCTCTGCCCTCCCTAATCACAGCTCCCAGGGAACAACAGCGGGGGTCACGTGGAGACGCATTCAAAATAGCAACCACACTGAGGCAAAATTGATTCCTCCACCTCTCTTTTCATTTATGAATTCAGGGTTTTTTTTCCATCAGGCTGAACATTTAAATGCACTCTCCGCTCTCTGGATTCCCCTCCACCGCCATTTCTCCCCTTGCTCATTAAAATTCTAATTATTACCAGAGCAAGTCAGATGTATGATCAAAGGAAAGCAAAACCCTAGAAATACCTTTTGTTTTAAGGTGACTCATATTACAGAGAATGTCCCCGGAACAGCTGGAAAAGAGAACAGATGTAAAGGGCCTAGAGATGGCCCGAAAACACAGAATAAGAACGCATGGATCTGTGATATCCTGGTGAACCCCAGGGGGAAAAGGGCCTAAAGACAGAGTCTCCAAACCATTTAGATCATGAACTCATAACAGCAAACATTATTTTGATTTAATATCTCCAGTATGTGTTTATTTGTTCCCATGTTCCATACACATGTACACAAGGGATATTGTAGAGCTGGGCTGCCTGGGTTGTATCTCAGTCCAAACACTATGAGCTGTGTGACGCTGGACAATCTATCTAACCTTCTGTGCCTCAGTTTCCTCGTCTGCAAAATGAGGATCATAATCATCCCTATTTTCACTGAAGAGTATTAAATGAGTAAATATATAAAAAGCACTTTGTACCTTGGACATAGTCATATTTAATAACTCGACTAAATCCAGTAATAAAATGCTATCATTCCTATTACTATCAACCTGTATATAATAATTTCGATTTCTTATTTTTACTGTAATGAATAAATATTAAAGCAATCCGATATTTTTTCCCTTGTGCTCCCAGGATGCATGCTCGCCTAATTGGAGATCTTTAGTCTAGAAGTTAACTTAGAATCAGCTTTTCTGGTCTCTGATAGTGTCTGGTGGACTAATCTCAGTTCCTATGCTGGGAAGGGCTCTGATGTCTCTGTGTGGGGGCCGGGGGGCCCGGATAGGTGGCTAAAGACTTGAGAATTCTCTGCTCTTATTCCTGACGGTGGTAGCTGATCAAGGCCAGTATCCTACACCCAGGGAGTCAGGAGGCAGCGCTAGCTCCCCAGAGAGGATGGCTGATGCTCTTGCCTCCTTCTCAGATCCCTCTGGACCAGGGACAGCTTTCCCTGGGGCCCATGTGCTGTGAGAGTACTCCTGACCTCCCCACTACCTCCCAAGAGGGATCTGATATCTCTGTACTCCAAGCGCAGCTTAGCACTTAGAATATGGCACGTGGTCAGTAAATGTTGGTTGAGAGATAATGACAGCTGTTTTATGTGCCATTGAATCATTCATTCATTCATTCTCATGTGCCAGTTTCTATGCTGAGCCCTCAGTCAGACAAATAAAAGAAAACACAGGATTATAGTAACCTACAGTTTAATCAGGGACAAAAGTCTGGGGCAGTGGAACGGGTGCCAGGCTGGACAGTGGACATCTGGACCATGGTCCAGGCCTTGTGTCTGACCTGTGAGCCCAGGCAAATCCTTCTCTGGACCACTGCTCCCATCTGCAAAAGCACAGCCTGGCCTTGGTACTTACAGGGTCATTTCTCCCCTTAAATCCCAAGATTCTTAAGGCATGGGGACAGGATAATCCAGAGGCTGCAGGGGCCAGACAGGTGACAGGGAATGGAGCTGGTGAGAACACACCCTTCTGAAGAGAATCACCAATTCCAACCATGCAGGAGCACCGGTCCAGCTCCCAAGTCCTCAGGCCTTTTCCAGAGAAGCCAGAAATCTAGTGTGATGATGAGATGGTCATGATGGAATTACTCAATTTTTCAGTCATCATTCAAGCCAAACAAGACCCGTCTGATGGCTTATTCTCAAGTGACCTTGGTGCAAACCCATTGATTCAGAGCCTTCTGACCTCTCAGGGAAAGAAGAGGCTTTGGGCTCAAAGGTTCATTTCCTAAAGGTGGGGTGGGAGGCCTGCTTAATGATTTCTCCTAGAAGGAGGCGTTGCTCACAGCTCTTCTCGGGTAATGGGCATCCTGCTGGGGGCAGAGGTGGGCTGGGGGTGTGACAGTGAATGCCTGCCTCTGAACCAACCACGATATTCAAAGATACCAGTCTGGTGGGGAGGGTAACAGTTCAGCAGTAGAGCTTATGCTTAGCATGCGTGAGGTCCTGGGTTCAATCCCCAGTATCTCCATTAAAAAAATAAATAAAAATACCAGTTTCACAGCAAAGTTCTCATAGCCACAGGAATGGAAAAAGACAGCTATAGGAATCATTTGTATTTAGCTCTGAAGTAAACCGTGTGGATTAGATTCCAACTTAATACGAGACTGTATTGAGCCTACTATGTGCAGAGTTCCGGGAATACAGAAGAAGGGTTAGACCTCGCCCACGCCCTCAAGATTATGCCCAATCTCATTTGCTTCAAGTCAACTCAATAACTATGTTAGCTCCTGCTGTGGGCTTGGTGGGCATGGGATAAGGGAAGAGAAGAAGGTAGTCTGGCCTCCTGTCCCCAAGGCCTCACAGCCTGTGGAGGAAGAGAGCTGGGTACAAAAACGACTCTGCTCCAAGTCTGGCCATAGTAACAGCTCTCATAGAAATTCAAACAGCATCCAAATGTGAACGCTTCAAGAATTTGCACATTTGCTTAGGCTGCTGTTTAAATTACTTTCCCCTCCCCGTGCACATGCCAGCAGGGAGTAGGGGAGGCAGCCCAGGTGCTCCCCAAGCTGGCAGAGGTAGGAGGGGCTGGGCTGGGGGAATCAGACGGAGGGGAAGGCGAGGCTGCTGATCTTTCACGAGGTGGACTATGGAGCACCAGCCCTGCAACCATCTCTCTCTCCTCTGCCTGGGCAGATTTCTCATGACCATTCTTTTCTCTTCTTCCGTCTCTGTCCCTTCTGTGTGGCCCCTCTTGGAACACCCCTCCCCGCTTCTCCCCGCCTCTGTCTGTCTCTGTCCCTCCCTGCCTGGCTGAGGGCAGGCGCCTCTGTCAGCCTCCTCGCAGTGGTAGTTATTGTGTGTGGCGTGGCCCTGGTGGCAGTTTTTCTCTTTCTCTTTTGGAAGCTGTGCTGGATGCCCTGGAGGACCAAGGAGGCCTCCAGTCCCTCCTCTGCTAACCCCTCCCCGGAGGCCCTGCAGAGCCCCAGCTCCAGAGGCAACATGGCGGACAAGCTGAAGGACCCCAACACCCTGGGCTTCCTAGAGGCGGCTGTGAAGATCAGCCACACGTCCCCAGATATCCCAGCTGAGGTGCAGATGTCGGTCAAGGAGCATATCATGCGTCACACGCGGCTGCAGCGACAGACCACAGAGCCAGCGTCATCCACCAGGTGAGGGGTAGAACCCTCCCTTCCCTCCCTCCACATTTCCGGATCCAATACATTAATGAGATTGCAGCCCGTGAGGATCAGAGACTAGAAATAATCACATGGGTACTTTGGGTGGAGACTGTATCACATGACATGCTCCATGGTGGGTGATCAACTAGGAGGTGGCACCAGGAAGGACTTCCTGAGAGTGCAAACTTTGAGGTGGGGTGCTGTGCACGGGGTAAGTGCTGGAATGTGTGTGAGTAGGAGGTGTTGCCTTGTTTGGTGGGAAGGAAAGACTTCAAGTGGAGAGAAGAGAATATGCAAGGTGCAGAGGCATAAAAGTTCATGATGCGTCTAGGGGTATGTTGATAAAGCCTCCCAGATGAAGTCTGCAGTGCCAGGAGATAAAGCAAGAGACTCCTAGTACTTTGAGAAAGAGGATAGTCATTGACAGTGTTCCTTGCATGACAGCTATTATATACATGGCATTCTTTAACTGAAATAATAAAACGACCAAAAAAAAAAACCCACTGCCACTTAATGACAAAAACCTACTCTAAATTTAGAAACACAGTTACAGAAGATGTGGTACATGCGGGTATGAAGTGTTATATTTATCAAAAACTTGAGGCTCTTGTGGCTTCCTGGGTCCCTAAAGGCTCCCAGGGACCAGCCAAAGGGAAGCAGGATTTCTCTTCAGCTTGAAAGCCAGAAATGATGAAAAGTGCTGGGTCACATTTACAGAGTTTATTGTTTGACCTCAGACGTGTTGCTCACCATTCCTAAGCCTCACTTTTCCCAGTTGTGTAATAGGGCTAATGACCCTCATACAGTTGCTGTGAGGAGCCAGTGAAAGAATCCACGTGATAATCAGCACTAACGACAGATCGCTCATACACCCAGCCCTGTTCTAAGCACTTTATGTGCATTAATTCATTTCATCCCCAGGCAATCCTATGCACTTGCTACTTTTATTATTCTCATTTTATAGCACAGAGAGGTTTAATAACTTGTCCCAGGTCACACAGCTAGAAAGTGGCAGAGCTAAAATTCACCTATGAGGTCTGTCTGGCTCCAAAGCGCAATCCACGTTAACTATGTGATGGTGATGGTAGTGGGGGTGATGAAGGGAAGCCACACTGAACGTGGGAAAGACTGGTCCTTCTCAGTAAGGGAGCTCATGGTTTAATGGGGGAACCAGAGTCACGTCTACTAGGAAAGAAACCTAGAAAGCAGATGGTAGAAAAGTAGGGAAAGTGATAATGATCACAATGGCTACCATTTACTAAAGCTTATTTTATACCAGGCCCCATTCCAACTGCTTTACATATATTGTCATGCACACAAACCGTGTGCACAAGGAAAGTGGGTCAACTAGCAGGAGGAAAAGGGGGCCCCACAAGGGGTAGGATGCACCAGGGCCGCAGGGTGTGTCTGCCTGCACCCCACCCCCCCAACCTCCATGTCTCTCTGCACCCTGACCCCCAACCTCTGGATGTCTGACCTCACTCACCCCCTCCCACCCTCCACCAGGCACACGTCCTTCAAGCGACACCTGCCGCGGCAGATGCACGTCTCCAGTGTGGACTATGGCAATGAGCTGCCCCCGGCAGCAGAGCAGCCCACCAGCATTGGCCGCATCAAGCCCGAGCTCTACAAGCAGAAGTCAGTGGATGGGGACGATGCCAAATCCGAGGCCGCCAAGAGCTGCGGGAAGATCAACTTCAGCCTGCGCTATGACTACGAGAACGAGACCCTGATCGTGCGCATCCTGAAGGCCTTCGACCTCCCTGCCAAGGACTTTTGCGGCAGCTCTGACCCTTACGTCAAGATCTACCTCCTGCCCGACCGCAAATGCAAACTGCAGACCCGGGTGCACCGCAAGACCCTGAACCCCACCTTCGATGAGAACTTCCACTTCCCTGTGCCCTACGAGGAGCTGGCCGACCGCAAGCTGCATCTCAGTGTCTTTGATTTTGACCGCTTCTCCCGCCATGACATGATTGGGGAGGTCATCCTGGACAACCTCTTTGAGGCCTCCGACCTGTCCCGGGAAACCTCCATCTGGAAGGACATCCAGTATGCCACAAGTGTGAGTACAGCCCTGCCCCCGGGCTTCTTGAAGATTTGCAGTTCTGGGTTTGAGTGGGACGTACCCCCCACCCCCTTCACTCCTAGAGACAAATGGGACTTTATCCTTCAGGATGTGAAGGGGATTCTGACTAAATGTGCAACCCACCCTGGGAAAGTGCTTGCACTGTGCCCCACATTGGGGTGGGGGCAGCCCAGTGGGAAGAGAAGGGAATTTGAATCTGTTGCATCCAATGGCATGTTCTGGGGTGAGTCTCTCTCCCTGCTGGGCCTCAGGTCTACCACCTACAAAATAATATATCTCTTTAATCGTGGGTAAGGATTGGGCCAGGGCCATGGACTGGATCAGAGAGCAGCATCTGCCAAGGGCACTGATGTGTACTAGAAGCCTGGAACAGGCAACCAAGAACAGGCTGTATTAATCAGGATGAACCAGGTTGTGCTGCAGCAACAAACAATCCTAGGATTTGGTAAACTAAAGCAGCCAAGGTTTAGTTCTTGTTCATGTTACAAGTGCTTTGCAGCTTGCCTGGGGTTCTAGTCCACCTTGTTACCCAGGATCCAAGCGGACAGAGGCTGCATTTTGACCTGTGCTCCCACAGTTGCCACATCAGGAGGAAGAGGATATGGCCAATCATGCACCGTTTCTGAAAGCGTCCCTGCACAAGTTGACACATGTCACTTCCACTCATATTTCATTAGCCAAAGCAAGACACATAGCAACTCCTAATATCAAGGGGGCAGGGCAAAGCAGTCCAACTACGTGTCCAGAACGGGGACCTGAGGTATTTAATGACCAGGACTAATGACTACCACGCAGCAGAGCCTCTGCTCTTAGGCACTGCCTACCCAGGTGGGGGAGGGGAGACCTGGCTAATCTGCACATGGGAGAGGGGGTGGTTCGCTGCTCACGATCAACTGGAATTAACCAGGAGGGTTTCAAGGAGCTGGGGCTCAAGTTGGCTTTTAAGAGGGAAGATAGGTTTGGCACAGAGAATTAAGAGGGAATCTCCAGAGTCCTTTGGTCCAGTATAGACAGTGTTCTCTGGTCCACTGGGTGTGTGTTGAAGAAGCTGGGTCATAGCATCCCACAGGTGTAGGTGGCATGACTCTAAGCCCAGCCATGCTGCTGAGAGCCCTACAGGGGCATTGCCATCAAGCAACAGTGAGTGGCCTTGTGTCTGGCGTCTTGAGCGCTAGCTGGTTGAGTGTCTCCTGGGATATTTCTTGCACTATTTCTCTGGGTGTGGGGGTGACCCCACTCAGTCTGCAGACCCTCCCTTTGGATAGTCAATACTCAATATCTATGTGCTGAATTTGTAAGGAGGGGGGCTGGGGAAATCAGCCCCACGCTGGTGGGAAAAGGGTAAGACTCTTGATTTGTTCAAAGAGAGAAAGCTTACTGGGCTCCATTGCCCCAGGGAGGGTCACTGGGACACCCCATCCTCATAGCTGGTGCTGACTTTGACCAGTCCAGTCTGATGTCCCAGTGCCTCGCCCACCTTTCCTCTCCTGAAATGTCATCCCCAAGAACAGCATAAGCAGCGGGGCCGGCAGACAGGGCGGGCAGACGGGGCGGGCCGGAACAGCAGCTGTACACCAGCCCCAAGCCCAGGAGCTCTGCTCTATAAATCACTCTGAAGTTTACATCTGGTGCAGCTCTTCCCCTGTGGTCTCCTAAGGCAGCAGCTTCATTATGGTGACTATATAGGTAGAGAAAAGCAGCCCCGTCCTCCCCACTCTGAGGCTGAGGCTGAGGGGCTCAAGAGAGAGGGAGGGCTGGGGGCCAGGGGCTGGGGGAAGCAGGGCTCAATTCAGCCCTGAGAGAAGCCTCCCTTCTCCACCCCAGAGACCTTCCTTTCCCGGGATTTCAGCTCCGGGCATGATGGAAGCCCTAGTCCTGGAGTAGCAGTCCGTGCTCAAGCAGGCCCCTCATCTGAATGCTAACTTCCTGTCTCCTAGCACCTGCGGCCGTCCCTGCCCTCCTCCCACCCCCTCTTCCCAGCCCAGCTTCAGAAAAAGGCAGACCATCCCAAAGGAGCTGAATAAGTCGTCACCATCCTCATTACTCTCAGCCAGTTCCATCACAGCCCTCCTCCATCACCTCCTAAGCAGGACACTGGGCCAGACCCTGGGGAGCCAGGGGGCTGAGATAGAAGACAGCCTCTTTGACCCACAGAACTTTAATTACAGAGACAAGAAATGTTCTTGCAATAGCTAGTGATGCACGGGGAGTCCAGGCCCAGGAGTTCCCAAAGCTGGAGAGCAGGTGACCTGCTCACACACCCTGTCTTGCACACAGTCTGTCTGTGCTTAATGTTTGCCTGTGGAGGCCCCTAGGGCCCTCCCCTCTGCAGCCTGTCCAGCAGGCAGGCTCTCAGGATCAGGCTCTTTATCCTGGTGTGGGGGGGGGGGGCGAGGAGTCAAGCAAAAGAAGGGAAAGAGAACTAAGAAGGCTAGTGCTTTTACCTGTTTTTTGGTGCTGACTCAAACTGTAATTATTTGGAAGCCAGGGAGGCCCAAGCCCCAGTCCTGAGGAATGATTGAGCACTGAGTGTATATGAAATCCTGCAGCCAGTGCCGTGGGGGGCCAGATTCCTGCCAGATTCCGTTCCTAGAGCTGCATTTTGGCCCTGAGTTCCTCTGCCCCAAAGGCTGGTCTCTGAACATGCCTGGCATTCCTGCCTTTTGCCTTTGTTCCCAAGGCCAAGGTTCCCTCTGGCAGACAGGCCTCTCCCCCACCTCTCTGCTTGCTTGGCCCAAATCAATCCACCTTTCAAAGCTTCCCTGAAGCCTTTCCGCTCTCAAGGCAATCACTCCTCCAGATTAATCTCTGGGTCCCTCAGTTATACGCTGAGCCTTATTCTGTCTTGCAAAGTCCTCCCAATGACTCAGGAATGGCTTGTGTCCCACATTTGACTTTCTCTTGTATTTTCTCCTCGGGGCTGAGTCCTGAGTATGTCATTTTATGTAATTATAAGAACTCAGCACATTCTTGATGAATGACCAATGGTTTACTTAATTCAAATAAAACTATGTATTGGCGCACAAGGAAAGGATTAGTAAAGAGGCAATGGGATTTGGATGTAGCTAACCTGGGAAGGCTTCCTGGAGGAGAAAGTCAAGTAGCATTTTGAAAATGGATAGAGCTAGGCATGGTGGGGAGACCCCGGCTACACATTCCTTCAGAGGTATGGTTCGGGTAGATGGTTTATGTCCAGAGTAGCAAAGAGATTAACCAGCCAGATCAGGTAGTCTGGACTGAAATGGAGGGTCCGTGACCCACAGTGTGGGTAGAAGAAGAGGTTCCGTGAGAAGAATGTTCAGGAGGCTGCTCTGAGGTCACGATAGTCCATGAAGGCTGTCCTCTTTCGCTCCTCATCCTTGTATGAGAGAATCAGATGCAGCCCTGGCAGGTGGAACCAGGCAGGTTCCTTGTTTTGGCCCCTGCCCCGGTGATTGAGATGGTTTGAAGCAGCTAAGCCTGGAGTATTTGTGTTGTTTTCTCACAACCACTGAACGTGGAGCTTCATGGCTAGTGAAGGGCAGGTGGGCTTGGGAGGTGTGGGGCAGGGGCTAGCTCTTTGTTAACTGCAAATCTTCAGCCCTGAGGGACACTCACCTTGGTGCCCCCAGGTTGTTTGGGAGGGAAGCCGAGGCAGTAACAGAGCTAACATACTTCTCGCTGGAGGATGAGAAACAGGCAAGCCAGACCTGCAGGACAGTCGGAGGCCTCTACCGTTCCACGGAATCCAGAAGCTCAGGTGTGGGAAGGAAATTGTGGGAGTTCATCAAATGCAGCCCGGCCCGGGCGGGGCTGCCCCACTCTTGCCTTGCTTGACTGAGGTCCCCTGGTGCTCTCCTGGGCATTCCCAGAGGCTGGCCATTTCCCCTCCTCCAAGAACTTCCATTGGCTGAAATCATCCTGCTCTTCCCTTCCCCCCTCTCCAGCCCCCAGTCTCATTATTTCTATATAAAGCTGTAGATTTATCATTATAATAGAGCTGCCGTCACCAGGGTTTGCCAACATCTCTGTAATCTTGTCATTGCTACAGAGGCCTCAGACCCCAGTGCACACAATCGCTCCTGTCGCCATTCCCGCTCCTGCATGGTGGCGGGAGGTGAAGGCTGTAATTGGGGCCATAAATATGTGTTGTGTTTGGTGGCGTTAGTGGACTTGCCATCTTCCTGCCTTACGGGGTCCCTGCCAGGTCAGAGTGAGTGTGTGTGTGTGCATGTGTGTGTGTGTGTGCTTGTTTTGGGGTGACGGCGTGCTCTGTGTACTTCCAGGGGGCCTAGACTCAGAGTCTGCAGGGAGGAAGGGAGGCCTTACGTGGTAAAACAGTCTCTTCTCTAGCCTGAGAATGAGCAGAGCTGCATACAAAGAGCTCAGGCTTTGGTGCCAAACAAAGCATTCTAGCTTCTGCACTTTCTAACTTTGAGACCTTGGGGCCATTATCTAAACCGTACCTCAATTTCTACATCAGTAAAATGGGCATGGTAATGAAACACAGCTCATAGTAGTATTATATGTAAATTAAACAAAATACACAAGATGCCTAGACAGCACCATCACAGAGCAGCCTCCTGAGCCCCATTCTTACAGCACCTTCCTTCTGACTCAGCCTGTAGCTCACGATTTGTACCCCTCCCAGGCCTGACCCCCTCCCCCACTTTGATCCAGACCACCTATTCCAACAGATTGTTGGTTATTATTATTCCTATTTTATTTGTTTCTTTATTTTATCTCTTGTCCTAACTTGTGTTCTCTGTGTGACCCTGGAAAAGTGACTTGCCCTCTCTGGGCTGCGGTTTCCTCAGAAATCAGCTGCAAAGGTCTAAGATTCTGAGATTCTTGGCTTCTCCTTTAGAGAAGTGCTTGGCTCTCTAGCTTTCAGAGCAGAGCTATCCAGTCCCTGGGATAGCCGTCTCCCTAGTAGAGGCCTCAACCCCAGGCTGATAGGCCCCTGGGCAGAATTTCCAGACCTACCCTCCGCCCTT